CAGGAACACGCTGAGCTCTGAGCCACAGCGAGAGTGTTTGTGTGTGTGGAGCCCAGATCAGTGATATGTTGTTTTCTGTGTGATTTACGGGTGCTCAGTGCTCCCTGTGTGTTCACCACTTGAGGGGAAACCAGCATCGGTGAGAATGCTGAGGCATGCCTGGCAGCGCAGAGCCAGCGCTTAGCTGTTACATGCTTGGACATCCTGCTGCTGCTTGGAGTAACCACAAGGGAGAGTTGGGCCATTCTTTGTCCTCAGAGTGAGTTTTCCAGATTTTATTGCTTTAGTTTTAATATGTCTTCTTGCAAGCTTCTGACTGTGACTGAACCTCTGGATTGGTTCTTTTCTCCTTTTTTGGAGAAACCATGGTCTGTTTGGTCTTTGCTTCTGTTTTTTTTTAAGGCTTTATGAAGTTTTTCACTCCCTTTACATTTCAGATTTCATTCCTCAACTCCTTTAACCAGGTTCTCAGTCATTTAAAATTATTACTAAACATCTTCTTAAAAGCTTAATTCCCAGTTAGACAGTGAAACAGCTGTACAACCACATTTGAAACACCCAGTCCCCACTCAACCCACTAAAATAATGTTTCTGGTAATTTCAACCAACCCTGCACTTGTGTAAGGGTATTAGAAATAAGATTTAGGGATAGTCAGAAACCTTAGACATTATACTTAATGTGCATACGCACACAGAGAGAGAGATTTAAAGATGTTAAGGCATTAAGGCTCAGGGAAATGGCAGGCCTGGTGGAGAATAAAGATAGAATAAATTAAAAGTCAAGCCCAATATTCACCCGGGTTTAAATTAATTTGCGCTGCTTACTTTGGGCCTTTCACTGAGTGTGTGAATGCGGAGGAGGCAGTCTCGGAGAAGCCAAAGTCGCAAGGGAGAAGCGGTTTCTATTACACCAGTTTTTGTGCTGGCCCCACGGAAGTCCCTGTGTGAGAATGTAGGTGAATTAGATTAAATTCGAAGCTCCACGTTATCAAGTTTGAGCCTGTGTCACCCAACACTCGCTTCATGCCCATGGGAAGAAACATGCAGCACCGAGGCTGATTCATCTCATCCTGGGGCAGGTGTCTAAGAATAGCGCAGACAAATCATCCTCTGGAGATGCCTGTTGTGTTCTACCTACTGTCAAAGGAGCCAAAGGTAACGAGCTTTGAACCCAGTAATTTCCAGCTGTCTAGTGTCAGGCAAGATGAGCACCTGAGGCAAGGTGGCTGGGGCCCTTCCTTTAGCTTCTCTATTCTTGATGAGATAAATAAAACGTTATAGTGACCTGCAAAGTTGCAGGGAACTCACCAATCACCTTTCTTTTGACCTTAAATCATGGCTCTTTTCACCAAATTGCCAGGCAGGAATTGCAACACTGGTAGTGGTACAGAGGGCTGGGGTTTAGGACAGGTCTTAGTCACCTGGAGCGCCCCTGAATTGCATTGCAACCAGCTATCCCATGGATTTTCAGCCCTCTGAGCATCCCGCAGGGGCTCGAGGGGAAGTGGGATGCCTAAGAAAGAGATTTTTCAGGGTCAGGAGGTGTGAGCACACACACATGCACACAGATGCACACACCTGCACACACCTGCAGCACGGAGTGAAATTTGATGGGGGGCTGTGTCGTGGACATACCAGGCATTGATATTTGGGGGAACGGTTATCTGCAGGGGAAGGATCTGCTCAGGCAGCCAAATCCGTTTAGAAATCAGGCATGGTGTGCGGCTGATTTTTTTCATTTGTTAATTTAACATTGTTCCTATTTGTAGGACAAATAAATAATTTCTGAACAAACAAGTTAGAGAACTGGAACATGAGGGGGGTGGTACATCAGCTCAGGGACTCGTGGTTAAGAAGTTCAATAGATTGTGATAACAACTGGAAATTGTTCAGTGGATTAGTGTCTAAAGCCAGTTTGGCTTCAAGTAATGACAAGCCTGAGCTGCAGTGCTGTGGATCCAAACTTCTCCCCCTGAGGGTTGTTGTTGCTTGTGTTGCGGTTGTGGGTAGGGTCCCCAGGTGTGAGCCCAGTCCCCTCTGAGCTGAGAGAAACCAGAAAACTGAGCTGCCCGACTCCTGCGTAGGGCCATGTCCTATCTAGGCATTCGGAGCCAAAAGGCTTCTGTGGATCTTGCCCCAGTTCATCTCCTGCAGGAGCTGGCTCCTGTGGGAAGTGCACATGCTGCTAACAAGATGATGGGGATGGTTCACCTGCATTCCTAAGAAAAAAAAATGTTTTACTAAGACAAGCTCTACATTTGTTTCTGCAAGGCTTTTTTCTTTAGAAGAAGCTGGCCCCATGCAGAAGACTGGACCAAGGTGTCTGGATTCTCCTTAGGTTGTGTTTTGGCCACCAAGGAGAAAGCCACAAATGCAAATCGTAACCGGTTACACTTAGGGGCTATGCCCTATGCTCTCTTCATGGTCCTGAGACATGGCCAGTCAATTAGAAACTCTCTGTTGACTTGGGTGGGCTTTCAACCAGACGCTATACAATTCAACAGAATAATTAGCAAAGCTGTAACTAAAGAGATCTCCATGGAGATTGACAGCATCACCTCCCAGCTGGTACATTCTCTGCCTCCTATACTAAATTTGTTCTCGCTGTCTTCCTGGCTCTAATCCATAAGGTTAGCTAAATCTTCCAACATTTGTGATACATCAAAGCAGTGGAGAGAAGGACAAAGGCAGTTGAGAGGGGGCAGAGAAAGAAATAACCCGGTGCCTTAAGGAAAGCAACAGAAACTGTTCAGACATATATAGTCAGAGTTTCGAGAATGGGATTAGGCAGAACAGCACCTCTGCCTGCCTGTCACTTGCAAATTCTTGCTAATACTTTAGGAGCTTATTGGAGGTCAGCACCAAACACCCAAACAGACTAATCTGTATTATAGGCACATAATCAAAGTCACAAGGTTTTACATAATATATATTGGTGACACAAGAAGTGTTTGTTTGAATATTTTTGTCATCAAGATTAGTGGCCATGAAAGCCTCTACTGTGCACTAACCTGGTTTTCTATGGCCATTGGTACGCCAGACTGCTCAAAGAAGTCGGGAAGGAGCTGAGAAAGTACAGACCAAGTATATGTTCTGAAACAGTTACAGTATTAGGTTTCTAGCCGTGGCAAAGTTGTTAAAAAAAAAGAAGTATGTGTGTGTGAGCTAGAAGGGTTGTGCATAAGCTGCAGCTTAAGACACGCAAACATGGCTGTAGATACAATTTTTGCGTTTGTCATTTTTTTCAGGCAGTTTTGGGGTTGCAGCAAATCACACTTCACACTCACACATCACTTCTGCGGCAATGGCAAGAAGTAGGGATTTAAAAGACAAACTGGTGTCACTTGACCCACTTGTGAGCTTTGTGTTCCCCTTCAGAGAGGTGGAAGCTGTGGCACAGAGGGACCAAGTGGTCTAGGCTCACAGAATAAGTCAAAGGCAGAGGTAGGAATGGGTCCCGTGTAGATAACAATTCCATTTCAACAAATGTAATTGATTTTAAAAGGAAATTAGTTTCTGGAAATGTTTGGAAATGTATGGAAAAGTCTGGTTTTCTACCTGCATAGAGCTTTGTAACTACGGTGTTACAGAAACACAAAAGAAAAATGTGTAAAATTACAAAAGAAGAAACACAAAAGAAAAATTAATTCAAGACCATTTTCTCTGTGATGGGAAGAGACAAAGTCACAGCTCATGCTGTGGGTTGCAGAGATGATGTAAAGATTTTCCAGGCGCATAGGCCAGCTTGTTCTCATGGCTGATGCACAGCTAAGCCAAAGGTTTTGTGGGGGTACCCCAAATCCTCCCGTCTCACTGCAGGAGTTCACCCCACTGAACTGAAGTACCTAATTAGGAATCCCATTGCCCCAAACTTCCCCACAGCAAGAGCGATGCCAGCCAGACATCTGCAGAAGAGAAACCAGAACTTGGGAGGGCTGAATCCTCCTCTAGATTTGCCGCAATTCACATGCTGCTACCATGTGAACCCAGGGCTAAAATCACTCCGGCGGCTTTACACGACTCCTGAAAGCTCCTTTGTGGAAGCAGAGCTGACTGAACTGGCCTTCAGGTCAAGAAAAATCAAGCGCTGGGTGGGATTTCCAAGAGCGTTTGGCCATAACCTCACCCTGCTCCCCTTTGAAATCAGCAGAATATTTACAATATCTACTTCAATCGGAGAAAAATCAGGCCATTACGGAGCGCGTTTGAAACGCTCACCTCTAATGATGCTCCGATTCCTTTGTACCTCCCTGCTCAAAGGCAGCCTGCTGCGTCTACCATTAAAACACAATCCTAGCAGTTGGTTAGATAACGCAATGAGCCCAACGTGCAGGCCCTAGAGGCACAGGAAAATTATAACGATTAAACCATGTGAATCTCTTAAACATTACCTACAATCGTTCTGCCGGCCACCATCATATCAGGCAATCAAGGACCGGTTATCTTCAAAACTGCCGTGGAAAAGAAAGTGCTGCATCTCAGTGAACGCTGCTATGATGTAGGCTGCAGGTGGAGTCTTCACGCTGCAAATAATAAAAGATGAAAATAAAAGTGCATGTTGAATTAGCTGAAATCAGAAAGAGC